TAGAAGGGGAAAAAGACTTAGATCAGCAGGATCCTCGTTGAACCCAAGAAGGTCAAGCAAACTAAAAGCTAACTAGAAGATATCGGAACCTCAGATCCTCTAGAAATAAAACCAGTAATAATTCAGAAGACAAAAAAACATCCAAGACAGACCCTCAGGGTTGGCCCCCTGCACATACCACATTATATGTAATGGCGCACCAGTACACAGCTGCTGAGCTCATGGATTTGTTCCAACAATTTAAGAAAAGGCCATGACAGAGCATACCAGCTTGGCTGTTGAGATTATGGGACGTGGGGGGCGAAAGTGTGTTAGTTAACGGGCCCAAGATTTTTAAACTAGCATCTATTACCACACATCTGGCTCTCAGACAAAGGCTTTATGCCACTGTGATGCATATTGACAAAAACCATTTTCTAATTCAATGGGTAATGGTGGTGTGTAGAATCACATGGCCGAACAAAAGTGATGTTCTGATAAATACAGGGCCTATGGACCTCAATGGAGGAACTTTCAAAATTGTATTAAAGAATTAGGAATGAAGGAGGCAATACATGACAGTGCCTTTGAGAGTCCAGACTTGGTTAAGTTTTTGGCAAGGGATGAGGGACCTCATATTACAACAAGCTCCTCCCCACCAGTGTGTTATACTGGTGTCCATAATTAACCCTTCTGTGACCTTGGAGGCCATTATCCAACAGGCTGCCCAATTCGTGCCAATTCGTGGCTGATCTAGAGGAGACAGAGAGCCTTCAGACCAGGCGCAGTATCCGAATGTTGGAAGGGGCAGAGGTTCTCTCCGTAACTAAAACCAGGAGACCCACCCCATGGACTTCTCAATCAGGCCCTATATGGGTATCCTGAAAACAAATGTGTAATGACTGAATCCAGGCTGGGATTCAATTTGCAAAAATTCATCAGCAGCCCAATAATGTCCTCCTCCAGCTATGGAGGCAGTTAGAGGATGATCAAAAATTTCAAGATCACCCCAAAAAAACTGGGGTTAGATCTACTGATTAATTACCAACAACATGGAACTTGGAAGATTTCCTAGTTCCCAGTAAAAGGAAAAAGCCCCCTCAAGTGACCCAGGCCACTATGCCTGAGCCACCTGAGGAAAAAGAATTGACAATTGCATGACAGGGGATGCCTGTCTCCCTGTACCTAGGGCCTCCAGATGGGACTGGAGGCCCTACATTGAGCTAACAATTTTTTTGTCCCAAAAGAACATACAAAGGGTTATGATGTTGGTTGACACAGGCACAGAAACATCAATTATTTATGAGGATTTGACTAAATTCAATGGGGATAGAGTGATGATCGGTGGCTTTGGGGGACAGACCATTCCAGTTATCCAGATGTGGTTGAAATTGGGGGTTTTACATCACCCACCCTGGGAGTGTAAGGTGTCTATTGCCCCAGTCCCAGAGTACATCTTGGGTGTAGACATTTTATGGGGTCTGGCTCTCCAGACAACTGTAGGAGAGTTCAGAGTTCAACAGAGGTGTATTAGTGTCTGGGCAGTGCAGACAATATTGAGAGGCTAGGTGAAGCATGAGCCTATTTGCCTGCTGGAACCGAGCTGGATTACTAATGTGAGACAGTATAGACTCCCAGGGGGGAAAGATGAAATATCAAGGACTGTGTAGGAATTAGAAAAAGTTGGGATTATAAGACCCTACAAATAGCCCATATAATTCCCCCATATGGCCAGTGAGAAAGTCAGATGACACATGGAGAATGAGAGTAGATTATAGAGAATTAAGATCACACCGCCTGTTCATGCAGCCGTACCCAATATTGCCTCCCTAATGGACACATTGAGTAGGGAAATAAAAACCTACCATTGTGCCCTAGACTTGGCAAATGCATTCTTCAGTATTCACTGTGCACTTGCAGCCCAGAAGGCCAACTATGTTCTGGGCTGTATTAAAAAAGGGGTGGCCAGCAGAGAGAGGGAGGTGATTGTCCCCCTCTACTCGGCTCTTGTGAGGCCCCATCTGGAGTACTGCATCCAGGCCTGGGGCCCCCAGTACAGGAAGGATGTGGAGCTCTTGGAGCGGGTCCAGAGGAGGGCCACTAAGATGATCAGAGGACTGGAGCAGCTCTCCTATGAGGAAAGGTTGAGGGAACTGGGCTTGTTTAGCTTGGAGAAGAGAAGGCTGCGGGGAGACCTCATTGTAGCCTTCCAATACTTGAAGGGAGCATTTATGCTGTTTATACAGGAAGGGGAATGGCTGTTTATGAGAGTGGATATAGGACAATGGGGAATGGTCTTAAACTGATATAGGGGAGGTTTAGGTTAGATATTAGGAGGAAGTTTTTCAGTCAGAGGGTGGTGACTCACTGGAACAGGTTGCCCAAGGAGGTTGTGGATGCCTGGATCCCTGGATGCATTCAAGGCCAGGCTGGATGTGGCTCTGGGCAGCCAGGTCTAGAGGTTGGTGACCCTGCCCTTGGCAGGGGGGTTGAAACTAGATGATCACTGTGGTCCTTTTCAACCCAGGACATTCTATGATTCCAACTGCTGAAGCACAAGACCAGTTCTCATTCACATGGTGAGGCAGGCAGTAGACCTTTCAGGTCCTGCCACAGGATTACATGGCAAATTCAGAAAAAATAATGTTATCTTGTATCATTATACCGATGATCTCCTGTTAACATCTGACTCATTGGAGGCAGTAGGACAGTCGGCAGATTCATTGACTACCTATCTGCAAGAAAGAGGATGGGCTGTAAATCATCAGAAGGTGCAAGGTTTCAACAAGGCCAAATGCCGGGTCCTGCACTTCGGCTACAACAACCCCAGGCGACCCTACAGACTTGGGGCGGTGTGGCTGGAGGACTGCATAGAGGAAATGGACCTGGGGGTATTGATTGATGCTCGGCTGAACATGAGCCAACAGTGTGCCCAGGTGGCCAAGAAGGCTAATGGCATCCTGGCTTGCATCAGAAACAGTGTTGCAAGCAGGAGCAGAGAGGTGATTGTTCCCCTATACTCAGCACTAGTGAGGCCGCACCTCGAGTACTGTGTCCAGTTTTGGGCCCCTCACTGCAAGAAAGACATCGAGGCCCTGGAACATGTTCAAAGGAGGGCAACAAAGCTGGTGAGGGGTCTGGAACACAGGACATATGAGGAGAGGCTGAAGGAGCTGGGAATGTTCAGCCTGGAGAAGAGGAGGCTCAGGGGAGACCTCATTGCTTTCTATAACTTCCTGAAGGGAGGTTGTAGTGAGCTGGGGGTTGGCCTCTTCTCTCGTGTCATTAGTGATAGGACCAGAGGGAATGGTTTCAAGCTACGGCAGGGGAGATTCAGGCTGGACATGAGGAAGTATTACTTTTCAGAAAGGGTGGTCAGGCACTGGAATGGACTGCCCAGGGAGGTGGTGGAGTCACCGACCCTGGGGGTGTTCAAGGAAAGACTGGATGGTGTGTTGAGGGACATGGTTTAGTGGGAGCAATTGGTAGTAGGTGAACGGTTGGACTGGATGAGCTTTTAGGTCTTTTCCAACCTTGGTGATTCTATGATTCTAAGGAGCATAGGTGAAGGTAATTCATCTGTGTGATCAGAAGGGATGGAGCCTGGCTCCACCTCTCTTAGAACTCATTTAAGGGCTGATTGCCAGTGGGGAATGATCTTTTTCTGGAGATTTTTCTTTTGTGAAGCTTTTCCCAGTGAACCTAGAATCTTCTGACATGGGTGAGCATTCTTCTTCCCTTCCTTTATAGCATCTCTCTATTCTGCTAGTCCTTCTGTTATTTCATCTTTGTTGTGATGCCTTTCCCATTGTATTCATCTGTCTAATTGCTACAGATCCCAGTGCCAGAAGTTGTCACTCCAAAGACAGCTGACTCAATCACTTTTGGACTTATTTGTAAGTTTGTACAGTTACTGTAGTTGTTGTCAACCAAACAACAGCCCCCAATGACCTACCTGTCATGGTTTTATGTTTTTTTTTAAATGTCAGTTTTCTACATCATAACATCATGTAAAGCAGTGGGAGTTGAAGAGTTAATGTTCTGGTTCTGTGGATTGCCTTTTTTGGGTATTTAGATCTTGGAGGGGAGGAGCGGCATTCCCCAGAGGACTTTGCCCAGAGGAAGAAAGATGGAGCTCCTGGCAGGTCTGCAGTTTTCTTTCTTTGTTTGCAGCAGAGAAGCACGTGGTCCCCCTGCAGTCTCTAGGGTAAGGCCTTGGTTTTGGACACTCTCCTTCTCATTTTGTTTTGTTTGTTGGTCTCATTTCCAATTGTATTGTGTTGTATTGTGTTATCTTGCATTCTGAAATCATATTTAGTAAATTAATGTTCCTCCTCAGATCATTGCCACTGCTCTGTTTTTTTTTAGACCCATCTACTATCTCTCTACCCTTCCCCCTTTTCCCTTCTCCTGGGGCCCACAAGTCCCCTGCTTCATTAGTCACAGGGCTGGGCCGGACTGGCCCGTAAACTGTTTACACTTTTTTTTTCCCCTCTCTCTTTTCTTTACCTTTTTTTTCAGGCCTGTGCCCTATCATGGACACAGATCTAGAGATAACTCCATGACACCATCACTATTGAAGATCAATGTCTGAACTATGAACCATGCTGGACCCATGGTGGTGACTATCTCTTTCTTGCTTTCTACGAAGACTCCTTGCTTTTATTTCCTATCTCTTTTCTGTTGCCTGCCTTCCCTTCCCCATCTCCTTAAGCAACTAGGATTTGTAATAAGCTGGTCAGGCTAACATTTGACCTGTTGTGTCTTAATCTTGCCATCAGGTATACAGACATTAATAGAATCTTCTCTCTCTCCTGTAAACTGGAGCGAGACACCCCCCCTCCTTTTTCAGGCTAGTGGGCCTGTGGCCCTGCTGTTCCCCTGTCATTGACACAGATAGATCTAGAGATAACTCTGTGACAACAAGGAAGTTACTTATCCCAGGAAAGATTGTGTAATTCTGCATGTACATAAGATATAAGTTACTATATATTGCAATCAGTGTATATGTTTAGGCTTACCTTGGTTAGCATTTGCACCCTGAGGCAAAGCATTGGTTAAATTGGGCAGCTCATTTCCATGGTTTCCATCTTCCCATGGACAAACATCCACACAGTTCCATTTTTTCAGCTGTTTTAGCCAACTGGTCTTCTGTTCCAACTTGCAGTGGGGATTTAAAACTATACACATCCACAGAGCACCTGATTTAAAAACAAATTGCTACATTATGTTTTCTGTTAAATATGTAGTACTAAATAATTGCCAACTTCAATACTGTAATACTTTCTTTCCTCCCTTCAAAGGCTACACTGCTTACTTCCCAGCTATGCCTAGCACCAGGGAGGCTGAATTCCCAACTCGCAATCTGGCCCATCTGAAGCAGTTGAAAGACTCTACCAAAGCCAACATTCTCAATTAAAAGGTATTAAGTGAGCCTTTTGTACTAGAAAATACTGAGTTCGCAATACATGGCTCATCAGACAGGAGCATCAGTCAAAAAAAAAAAACAAAAATAACCAAGAGTTCACAAAGTTACAACAGAAAAGTACCCAAGTTTTTCTTCTAATTTTTCTACCAGGAGTGAATCTATCTTCCAGCTTCATATTACATGTACCAAACAAGTGCATGAGTTAGAAATGTATTTTATAAACACATACTTCCACACTCAAAACCCAGTAGAAGTATTCCTGATAATATAATTCATTTTCCAAACACATCTGTATCTCAGAATTCCAGCAAACACTATTTGTGTTGTTTTTTTGTTGTTGTTTTTTTGCTTGTTTGTTTTTGCAGTCTAATAGAGAAGATACTTTTAACTGCAATTACTTCAGTAATTTGGATACACTTGAACTTGAAAACCTGTTTTACATGTTCTCTTTATGGAGCTCTAATTTATAGAAGACTAATTTGCACTGAAATTTCATGCATCCCATTACTTTAGTACTTGTTCCCTGACACTATATAACATGGCAAGCATAAATTCATCAGGGTCTCCAGCAACAATTTTCAAATGGAAGAATTTTTTTCTAAATCAGTTGTCTCTTCATCAGCGTGAACTTTGACAGAAGCATGGAGACATCTGAAAATGCTATATAGCAACAGTTCATTTGCTCATTAAGAATATGCCTTATATACTACAAGAGATTTAGAGAATGTCTGAACTATGCAATCTTCATGACAGACTGGATAAAAAAGAATAAAAATGCAGATGGTTCTTCGAGGATAATCAAATTTTCACATTCAAGTATTCTTTTGCTTATTTAGAATGCAAAATGGATACCCAGATCACATTACATTCATTCCTAGAGTAGTTCTGCATATGAGTATGCCTTAACACAGGAACCACTAGAAACAAAGCCTGATCCTTAAGGTTGCAAGTCCCCAAATATTCTGAGCATCATGGAATGGGGAAGTAATAGCAAAAAAAAAAAAAAATCTAAACATCTCAACAAGATACGATGCAGTACAGAACACGAGAGATACTATACTGATGCAGATTATTGCTGCACAGTGGTTAAATACAGTACAGCAAGCCTTTTTTTTTTTAAGCATGTGAAACTTGCCATGAGAGTAAGTAAAGCTAATACTGTTTTTAAAAACTTATTTTAAAATCAAATTTTATAACTTTCTATTAGACATCTTCTTCAACAAACTTATCTCCCCAAACAGTCAAATTACAAATGCTTATTCTTATTAAGCATCAATATATTCAGCACTGTCCAAGAGAGAATTTATTTAATTTATTCAACAAAAGGTGTGGCATATTGGAAAACCTTGGAGAAGTTAACTTGGATTTATTCATTTATTTTCAAAATCAAGTATTACTTGAATGCACTGAGGAGACAATACTTTGTAGCCAGATTCCATTTAAAGAGGAGAAGCTATGTCAAGTATAACCACAGTTAGCAGCTCATCTCAGAAGCCCCTTCAGAAGTTTATTTTTGTACAAATGAAGCACAAGGACAAGTGTGTTTATAATAAACCCCACAAAAACCACTTCACATTTCAACAGACTCCAACTGCATCCTGCTCCCAGTGACTTCAGCAAGAGCTGTGAATGCATCTGAGCTCATCAAGGCCCTTGAACAGTTTTCAAGGCTGTCCCATTCTCTGCAGGATGAGAGGAGTAAGACAAAATTCCTCCTGAGAACAAGCCTTGGGCTCAACTCCTGTAGCATTACAAAGGCCACCATCTGGGTGAAGGGACCATAATGTCAGTGACCTCACGGCTCTTCAGCCTATTTGGGTTTCTGTCTTTGTGTGTGTGTGTTTTTTCTTTTCTTCCCTTAGCATGCATGCGCTTGCCTCTATTCATGTTTCATCCTCCTCCTCCCCATGTGCCTTCCCCTTTCCCCTGACATCTGCTCCATTCTGTCTCCTTCCATTCACTGGTTCCCAACCTGCTACTAGCACTGAAAAATATGTGGAAAACGTTCATTTGAGGTTAGAAGTTTTAAGAAAGAAATGAAATCTAATTGAGGATCCAATTGGATTGGTAGAACAGTTGGATAAATTTTTAGAACCAAATTTTTATTCATGGGCAGAAATGATATTAAGTATCTATTAGGTATTTATATATCTGTTAAGTATTTATGAGGGAAGATAGATGAATTACAAGGAGAACAGCAATGAAGGAACGGGAGAGGAGAAATCCCCGTGGTGATGGAAACATTCCTGCAGAACAAAAGTTTTCCAGTGTAGACCTCAACTGGGATAGCAATAACCCTCAACACCGAGTAAATATAAGGAGTTACCGTAAGGGAGTTAATTGTACAAGGGATTAGAGAAGCCATCCGTATGTCTCAAAATTTTGTTAAAGCCTTTGAAATACAACAGGGCAAAGATGAGACACTGAGTGACTTTTTAGAGTGACTGTGGGACAGGAAGAGATGATATTCAGGGATGAACCCTGAGGATCCAGTTGCACAGGGCTTGTTGAACATTCATTTTGTAACCAAAGCCTGGCCAAATATCCAGAGATGGATCCAGAAGGTAGATAGATGGAGTGAGAGACCCTTAGAGGATCTTTTGAAAGAAGCACAGAAGGCTTATGTAAAAAGAGAGGAAGAGAAACAAAAGCAAAAAAGTTAAAATGATAGTTTCTACTGTGGACCAAATTGATAGACAGAGAATGGAGTCCATGTTTCAACAGAGGGTGAGAGGAAGAAACGCTTGGACAGGGGAATGAGGAGGTAGGGAGAATGGAGTGAGAGAAAGAGATATTGATCAGGGTCAAAGGTGTGGGAATCAAGTGTTGTTTCTGCATTAGAATTGTATATTATTTTTATTTTATGATCTGTGATTTTTATTTTATGATTTTATGATTTTATATTATGAGAATATTAAAAACAGCAAAGGAGGAGGGTGAAGCGATGGGGGCTGTTTGGCAACTTCTTGGACCTGCCCCACTGGCGGGGTGTGCGGGAGGAGCGATTTCGACAGCGGGAGGAGTCGGGGAGGGTCCAGATGGGGGTTCACGAAGTGTTAGCATTCTTCGGAATGACGGGCAGGCAGAGATTGCAGAGGAAGCGGGAAGTGGTGTAACCTACAGGTGTTCAGGTGATGGCATCCGGCCAGCACCATCCGCCCCGATCGCGCCTGATGGAGGAGGTGGCGTCTGGCCGGTGCCATCTGCTCCGGTCCCGCCCAGTGGAGAAGGACAAGATGGCGACTGCCTGCATGGAAGAAGACGAGATGGCGACTGCCCACTGCCGTATCCGGACCCATTGATTCATATCCTTTTCTGTAAATGAGAGGGTGCACGACCAATCAGGAGTCTCCTCAGCAGATAAGGGCTAAGCCAGCTCCACAGCATATGCAGGCGGAGCCAAGACTAGCGCCTTGGAAACAGATAGCGCCCTATCAGACAGAGACAGAGGTGGAGAGAGGGCGTGACTCACAGAACCAGCGATTTGCTATAGCCTCAGGGGAGAATAGTAAAGGGGAGGGTGAGGCAGCCCTGCACTGGGGAATTAAGAGGAGCACATTAACAAATTGGGAAGAGATCACACCTAGTCTGATAGATGAAGGAAGATCGTTGGAAGCTTTCCTGGTTGGTGTAAACAGAGGAAGAAACCCTGAGTGGGTACCTTTAGATCCAAAGGGCATTACTCGCCTGCTAGACTGTGTGGAAAAGCAAGGTTTAAACTCGCCCCTCACCCTGAATGCCTTAGAGGCCATGACATCTGTGGGTCCCTTCCTTCGTCATGATATCACAAATCTGATGCGTATAGTATTATCGCCAGTAGAGTATACATTATGGTCCTCAGAGTGGATGACAGGCTTGCAAGCTGCTTTAGGAGCCACGGAAGTAGACCCAAACCACCCACTGCATGGGTCTGTGGGAATCAAATGTTGTTTCTGCATTAGAATTGTATAATATTATTTTATATTATATCATCTCCGCTATCATAGTTCTTTTTGGGAGTCCTTCTACTTGGGGAAGATCTGTGATAGTTTACATCACTTATCGTATAGACAAACCTTCCCAGGAACGCACACTCTGTATATAGGTATATATATATATGTATATTTTGTCACACACACTGCAAGAATATCCTGCACAAGATCAAACCAGAGAACAAGTCATGGCATGCCCGAGGAAGCGCCTGAAGAGACATTGGGAAGGCCTGACATCATCCCCCAGTGCTCTTTGTTTAACGATGATGACTTTAAAGAAAATCACCATATCAATAGGACAAGGAGAGCACCGAGACATCTTGGAAACAACGGGATGACTACTGACTGGCACCAGATAACAAATAAATGAACAAGTAAATAGCAAATGTAAACCTTCTGATAAGATTGTGAACCTGGAGTACCCAGCCATTGGGGAATCAGGGGAGGGGGAAGGCAAGGGGGAGAAAACAGGGTCTAAAGGCTGTCATGTTGTGTCCATAGGTGCGCTCCTACTTGCGGGACGCCCGCCATTGCAATCACAAATAAAATCTGCTTTTATCAGACATACCGTCCTGACAAAATTACTTGGATATTTCCAACAGGTGGAACTACCAGGAATGAAGGAAAGGCTAGATAAATTAGAAACTCCAATAGCCCCATTGTGTCCTTTGATAAAAACTGAATACACATTTGATAACAGTGAGGATCTAGATCCTCAAATGAATGTTAAAAAAATTCCCTTCTCAGCCACTGAACTAGCGAAATTGAAGAAAGATTTCAGCCGCTCTCCAAAGGAATCAGA